GGAAAGAGTCTCTGATTCTGTGAGAGTCAAAGGAGAGAGAGAGAGAGATTTCTGAGGACAAAGGGAAAAGGCTTTAGGGAGAAGGGTGAACCCTGATGTGAGCACAAGCCCATGGGAAAGGATGGCCAGAGTCTAGGGTCATCTTCAGTTGAGGAGAATTCTCTGGAGTTTCCTGCCATCTCTCTGGAAGGGAGAGCTCTAAACCCTCTGTGGTAGCCACTCATCAGGTTGGTTTGCTGGCTCACAGTAATTCTTCCAGGGACCCTATATATTCTAACCAGTCTGTTCTTTCTGGGAACTACTCCATTCCCACTTCAATACTGAAATTCTAGAAGGAGCTACCAATCACAAACACTCATTCCATTGTCCACAGTGATTGGTCCAAGCAATAGTCACATGACCTGAAGCTGAGCCAATCAGAGAGATTTCTGAGGTTCTTCAAATTGGAGTTTCAGGGGAAACATCTTTTTCCCCTTCCTGGTGTCAGAACTACTAGTATGTGTGAGTCTGGAGCTACCAGTTGCTGTGTTTTGGTACATTCCACCCCCACCCCTTCCCTTCAGCTGGCTGTATTAAGAGAGTTAAGCTGGCTTATAGGGAAAAATAGGGATGAGAGATGGAGAGCTCTGTTGGCTTTTGAGTCTCTGGTGACATTTGTCTCTAGGCCAGCTCTTCTCTTCCTTGCCCATAGACTGATTATGTGAGTCTCCAAATAATAAACCACTCCCCTTGCACCTCTCCCCACCCTTTCTTGTCTAAGCTAGTTTGAGTTGGGTTTCAATTATTTGCAACTAAAGAGTCCCAGCTGATACTCCTCCCCTATCATTCTGAGAAGAAATGAGGTCTTGGGAGAGAAGGGGTAGGAGGGAATTATGAGAGGACAAAGAAGTCTCCAGAGGTCCTAGGGAAATGGCCTCATACTGGCAGATATCATTGATCTCAGAAACTCACATCGTCCTTTTTTCTTCCAAAAGCACCAGCCAGAGATCCCAAAGCACAGAAGGGTGAAAAGAACCATCAGGGAGAGCCCAGACCAAAGTGCTGTCCTCTCAGGTCCTGTGAAGAGGAACTGAGTGATATCAATATAAATAACAACAAGGGAGTTGGGGCAAGCAATGGACAAAACATAAAGGCCATCCTACCTGCCTCTTAAAATCCCATACTATTGCAGGAAATATTCCTTTTCATTCATTCATTCATTCTACAGCTATTTATTGAGCAGTCATATTCCAGGCAAGAAATTATAGCAGTAAGGCAGACACCGTCCCTGGGTAGAGAGGTTTATTGCTTGCCCAGTGTCACAGAGTTTTAAGTACCTGAGCTGGGATTTGAATGCAGGCTGTCAGATCCTAAAACACCCTTATCCATCACACTACACTGCCCCTCTCTATAAATGGCATAAGGACAGTTCTAGACAGTGAATCCAGATTACTATTGATCAGGGCTCTAAAACCATTTGCCAGACACAGCCTGACCCAGCATTTTCACATCCTGGGTAGACCTTTCTTTTTTTCTACTTCTCTCTAGGGAAGAGCAGAGCACAGAACTCAGAGCCTCAATCCTGCTTCTGCTGTGTGACCTTGGTTAGTATGACTGAGGAATGAAATTGTCTATTTAATTTTAATTAATTAAAATTTAAGTTAAAAATCAGCTACTCTATTCCTTATTGAAAAACTGATAAGTATATTTGGAACAACTCAGATATAAATATATTTTTTCAACTGCAAATTTTATGAAATCTGAATACAGATCAACTACTGCCCATGAGAATTTAGCATCTGAATTAAGATGTGCTGTAAGTGTAAAGTACATATTGGATTTCAATGACTTAGTACAAACTGAAATGCAAATTATGTCATGAATAATTCTTTGTATTGACTACATGTTGAATTGATGATAGTTTGGATATATTGAGTTAAATAAAATATATGATTAAAATTAATTTTACCTGTTTCTTTTTGCTTTTTCTAATATGACTATTAAAATTTTTAATTGCCTATTATAATTTCATTATATTTCTATTGGAACGTGCTGCTCTAAAGACTCTCACTCACACTCCCTCACTGCACTTTATAAAGAACCACTCAGAATGAAAACTCTTGGGTCCACGGACTTAAGGCTCTGAGGTCTGGCTGAACAGGAGAGCAACCTGGACAGAGGTCCCTAGAAAGAAACTGCTGGGAGCTGTTGCTGACAGGATTGCTGGCTCTGCATGTGAAACTGGGGTGTTTTTCTCCACTTCTCCAGGAAACACTGAGGTGAGCTCCCCCTTGGGACACGACAGCTCCTTTCTGTAGGGGGCTCCATCTGTATGTCACGTTGTGTCCACTGTCCTCCACTGAGCATGTCAGGCTGATCCTGCAGACGCCGTCCTCTGTGAGCCCGAGGCTCCTGGTGACTTTTGGCTTCTTCAGCCTCCCTATGTGAGGAGAAAGGCAGACCAGATGTGGAGTCAGGCCTGCACCCTGGGTGCATTCAAAATATATTAATTCGATATACCATTCAAAATATATGCATGAAGTTGTGGGTTGACACTGCCTTAGGGCTGGGAAGGTGCCTCCAGGAGTGCACCTGGACTTTTCTTTGATAGATCTAAAATCTCAGACTCATCACTTTACTCATCTTTGGTCCTTGGAAATAGAGGGGTTAATGAAAAGTGAAAAAAGATACCCCATCATTCTATACAGTATACTGTGAAGAACAAGCAAACCAATCAACACTTCCAAGTGCCCTGAGGCCCTTCAAGGCTTACATTTCGAGGTCCCATCATCTAATTTGTTTACCTACATGAGATAAGGAATATGGAGAGGTGAGCACAGCACTGTCACAGAGTAAGCACTTAATAAATGTTAACAATTTTAAAAGCAGCGTAAGACTGGCACTCTTTGTTCCCAATTTCTTATTCTTTTTGCTTGATCATCTTCCTGGTTCTTTGATATCTGAGTCACAGTAGGCAATAGAAGTGAACAAGCTGACTTGCATATTTTAACAGGACCATGGACAGTGACTCTTTTCTCATGTACTGAGACACCAACATGCCCAGGCAGGGGATAGGTTGACCATGTCTGAATGGCAGAGGTGAAGGAGCTGGCAAATATAAATTATACAGGCTGTGCAGCTAAGCTCCTGTGAAGCACAGGGCTGAGGAGGAAGATTCTGAGTTCTTTCCCTCACACTCAAGGAAGCCAAGTAGACTTCCAAGCTCTTGGAGGTCACAGGACAATAAAGGCTTTCTCCTCAGTCTTCTGTGATTGTACCCAGCCAGCTCTGCCTTTATGCAAAATGATAATGTTCTATAAAAATACGGGTTGGAGAGTTCCTTGTCCCACCCAGTAATCAATGCAGGAGGACAGGGCGAGTACCAGAAGTTGGTTGATTGAGGCTTAACTGGAAGCCTAGAAGAAGGGGGCCTGGGCTAGAGGAATTTGCTCAGCTACTGATTGTATTGTCCTCCTGTGAACTTACTGGTGTGAACTGAGTAGCTGTCCTGTGGGTCTGAGGCATTTTGTAGGAGGAGGGAGATGGGATAGGCAGCAAGGAGGAGAAACCTTCCAGGGAATGAATCTAATGATGGGCGCTCTACTCAGACTCACGGTAGATGCTCAGGTTGATATGTTTTATGCTGGCAACTCTGGTGTTTGAGCACACATAGGCGTGGTAGGGGCCGGCGTCCTCCATCTTCAACTGGCCAATCATTAGGGAGTAGTCCTGGCTGGAGACGCACACCGTGCTCTGATTTGGATCCTTGAACTTAATGAGTTGATTGGCTGTTGCTTCTTCTCCCCACTCTTTGCTGATAATAGAGGTGTTAAACATCCAGACAACGTTGTCTATGTGCTGACTGTCCGGGAGCGCCAGGGACAGGGTGATGGACTCCCCCAGGATCCCCGCCACTGTCTCCCCCATTGGTCTTCCTCTGGAAGCTCCTAGACCTGTAGCCAGAGGTGAGACATTGCTGTTTCAGCCACTGGTCTCAATCTCTTGACCCTCAGCCTGCCCGAAGGGGACCATAGCCTGATACACCCTCCTGCCCAGGCCTCCTTCTTCCTTTCTCTGATGAGGCACCCCTGCTGCTTTCCCATGACCACTTGTCATGCACAGGTATGCACCTGGCTCTGCCCATTGCATATCCAGTCCTCTCCTGCCCTCTCTGCCCTTCTAAGGACACCCTACGAGACACTCCTACCCAGGCAAAGAGCAATCTGGATTTCTGCATCCATACTCTCTTTCCCTCTCTTGTGTTATAGACCCTTGGAGTTTCAGAGTGCCCTGGGAGTTCCCAAGTCCCCTACCAGTCTCTCAGGCTCCTGAGGGTAGAGAAAAAGGGATTTTCGGGCCTGTTCTCTTACCTCCCTACCTTATCTGTGTCCTGCCAGAATCCTGGGGTTTAGGCTCTATAGCTACTTAGACTGTTTCTGGAATCCCCTGGAGGGCCTCAGTGGAGCCAGTTACCTGTACAGAACTGCCAGGCATGGACAGGGCGGGAGCTGCTCTGGCTGACTGGGTTCTTGGCTCTGCAGATGTATGGCAGGTTTGGGTCACAGGGCAACCAAGAGATGGTGAGACTAGGCCCCCCCCAGGATTCAGAAGCATGGGGATCCCTCGAAGTCCAGTAGTACTGAACATCTTCCCCTGCCCCCTTCACGGAGCATACAAGGGTGATGTTACAGGAGGCGTTCTCAGACATGTTCACAGACTTCATGATGACTCGGGGCTCCTGCAGCTGTTCTGCAGGAACAAGGGCAATAGGAAGACTATTCAGACTGCTTCCCCAGCAGGAAAGGGCTAAGTGAAAAATATGGTGTTGGTAGAAGATCTGGGGGCCAAAGGAAGAGGCCAGCATTATCTGTTCCAGTGGGAAGTCTTTTTTTTTCCTCTTTGTATCCCATGCAGGCTAGGTTGATTGCCTTTCCTCAGTGCTTCCGTAGTATCCTCTACAGCTGTTATCACCAAGACTCAACATGACAATAGTCTGATTATTCCCTCTCTCCCCCACCAGTTAGTGAATTCCTTGAGGACAGAGCCAGTGTCTGTGTCTGAACATCTAACATCTGCCTGGTCCATGAAAGACACTCATGAATGTTTGGTAAATAAATGGATGAATGAGCCAGCTTCAAACATTGGGGATTTGGAAGCTCTGCCTCTATAATTTGAGTTGCCCTTGCCTTTTGGTCTAGATTTGGGACCCACTGTGCTTCCAGACTTTCTTCCTGGTCCTCTCCTTTCCTTTTGTTCCATATCCTCTGTTCACAGCCTGTGTGTGTGTGTGAGTGTGTGTGTAAGTTCATTTTCTTTTTTGAATAGGCAATACATACATAATATTGAAATTGCAAAGTTACAAAAAGGTACATATGCACACACAAAGAAACAAGCTTTCTTGCCCCAGCCACCTAGTTCCTCTCCCCAGGAATTATTGTTCTGGGAGGCAATTACTGTTATGAGATTCTTGTTGATCTTTCCAGAGATATTCTAGTTGTAGACACATATATATAATAGCATGCTGTATATATTGTCCTTAAGCTTTTAAAAATTTTAATGATATATCTTGGAGATTGTTGTATGTTAGTACATATTAAGTTGATTCATTCTATTTCTGTTAACTGCATAGAATTCCATTTCTTTAATATATCCAGAGCACCCTAAAAAATCAATCAGAAAGGTCAAACAATCCAATAGAAACTCGGTGTTATAGGCTAAATTCTGTCCCCACAAAGTTCATATGTTGAAATTCTAACCCCAAGTACCTTAGAGTGTGATTGTATTTGGATATAAGACTGTATTTGGAAACGGAGGTAATTATTTTAAAATAGGGCCATTAGGATGGTCCCTAATCCAACATGTCTGGTGTCCTTATAAGAAGAGGAGATTAGGACAGAGACAACACAGACAGAGAGACAACCAAATTAGGACATAGGGACAGAA